CACACACACACACACACACACACACACACACACACACACACACACACACACACACACCAGAATCAAAGGGTGAAATCTAAAAAACTCGAAATTCAAAACAAGTTGTAGTGAACCTAAGTAAATGTACTAAAGGGTGAATTCTGACCTTCTCTTCTATTTCCCTTTTTAGAAAGAGTTATTTTGCTTCCTTTGAATTCTTCGGCCAGTGTATATGCAAATATCTTAAATGTGTTTTCGAGATCCCTATAATATCAAATTAACGCTTATATTGCTTATTTTGTTAGACATTCAGATTATGGGGTTGTTAATATTCACTGAATTGAAACCGAAAGTGCATGAATCCAATATTGATCTACGTACCCTCCAAATGAACCATTACTACCCTCAGAGCTCTCGTGTTGTTTTCCTAGCCTAAAAGTTAATTGTAATCATTTAAAATTGTGGTATAGAGAATTCACAGTGTGCTAATGAAAAGCACAAATGTTTATACCGAAGATATTACTAAGTACACCTAATACATCGTTACCGAGACATAATTCTCCAATTATTCATGAGAAAAAATATGCATTTTATATAAAGTTAAGCTGCACTTTTTGCTATCCATCCCATTAATGTCTGCCTTTAAGTTAGTCTTTTTCAGTCTTTAGTATCTGTTAATCCACATTTTTTGGTTTAAATTGAAAATATATGATATGTGGCAGGTTGAGTAGGTGCTGCTTACGTATTGATCGTAACTTCTATTTTAAATAAGCCCTTAAACCATTGAATGTAATATCTTCAAGTTTCTAAAGGGAAGATATTACTTTGCTATCTTCTGTTAATGAAATTTGAGCAATACCATTCACTGGGTATTCAAGAACGAATATTGACCCTTGGATTTCCAACTTTTCAAATGCTAATAGAAAGGTTCGCGAATATCCTTGAATAAAATATGGCATTATGGTGGCAATGGTACAAATGCGCCCTCCAAGCCCTGACTATAAATCCCACACTCCCAGTTTTAATTAGATTATACCAAATTTCAATTTATTTATTAACAATTAGGCATTCCTTCCGTTTTTTCCCCTAAAAATAAATCCTTCTTAGTTCAAAATTTTTTCTCCTTTTAGTTGTCTTCTTTAACTTTTACCACTGAGTTGTTGAAGGAACTACTTCAAAACTTGAAATACATTTGTGAAGTAACCGATAACAGTACGGCATCGGTCGTGTAATTTTGATCAAGTGACATCATGCCATCGTAACCCAACCTTATAATCCCTCTGTGGATGACTTAAAACGACAATCTGACACTGCTTAAAAGCATGTAATAAATCTTTAGTCCTCTTCTTTACTGTTTCCTGCCAAAAGCACATACGTTTAACAGGCTTAGTTAATAGTGGTAATGAATAGTTTGGTGTCCTGCAAATTTTACTTAAAAAATCTTTAAAAACCACGTGTGCATAACAAGTTTGAACGGTAGGATAGCTGATTAAAATATGCCCGCATCCCATTGGTTAGAATCAAGATGACTAACCAATAGGCATTGGCTTACGTCTTGCCAGCAATCTAAATTTCCCCTGAAAGTCACTTCTTCCCTCCCTTTTTCCTCACATTGAGAATGGTTTTGCAGCCACTGATCAGCTTTTAGATGAATATAGAATGTTAGGTCGATTCTAACATTCATTAACTCATGGTTTTTGACTTTTTAGGTCATATTTGTTCTAGATTTAATGACTTTTTCACTTGAAATCAAACAACCAGCGATCTCTTTATAAACCTGTTTTGGTAGCTTGCGCTGACACCATAAGTTAAATATTCCTACGGAAAATGGCATATTTCTCTTGACTTACGAAGTAGTTATACTTATATGTATAATTTATAATTTGGGAGACTGTTAACATCGAGCATATGAACTGCCTAAATTCATGCACGTTTTTAGACAGTCGCAGGGCTCGGTATGGGGTGATTAGAAGAACATATACACGTAGTATGATGACTCATGCCCACTCCGCGACATCTATTTCAGCTGGGTGATAAATTGAATTCAAAATATTCCCACAATTACTAGCATTTCGTATGCTCTGGGGCTACTTTATTCAGCAATATTACGCAGTTCATTTACACTGTAACTGCTAGTCGGGAAACTCACTTAATTAAAAAATTAGATCGACCACAAAACGAACACATTTGGATAATCAATTTTTTCAATCATGTGGTTTGTTAGAACCAAATAAGTGCGTTCAAAGTGTTAAGGAAACGTCAACATTTATAAATTACTTTATCATCAAAGTCCTATAACTGTGATTTCAACTCAGGTTAGGCGATGACTAATTTTAATAACCTCGGCTCGTGGATATCATTACGGCCGATCATATTTTAATTCTTGCCTCATGACTACATGCTAAGTAAGTGATCGATAAGTTTATTCCTTTCTCTGCTATTGAGAGTAGAAATTTCCGTGAAAAGTTTTATTTAGTGTTGAAGGAATAAATGCTATTTTTCACATCATACTTTTTAGAAAATGTGCAATATGCAGAAAGATTTCGTTGCGTCACATAAACAACCAGATCTGCTCTAAAATCTACAACAAAATTTAGAGAAGAAGGGTTCCATGATCCATTCCCAATCATTTGAACCTGGATTTTTAGTTCAAGCTAGACCTTCGAGGTTCTGAAGGCTTTCCTTACTTAAAAAAGGAAATTTCTGCAAAACAAGATTACAAATTTGGCCTTTGCTTCAAAAATGTCCGTTGAAATCCAAATAACTATTGCATATCTAAATACCCACTATAATCCAGGGCCGCCCAAGATTAGTAAAGAGAGATATTTGTGCGATGAGATTCAAATAAGAAATTGCGTACTTTCGATGACAAAATATTTTTTTCAAATACTATTTTACTTGCTGTTGATATACATAATTTGTGACCCAATATGGCAAAAGCTGCTTTAACAAATATTGTTTTAGATGGTCTCTCGACTTAAACAGAGATCTTATCAAGAAGAATAGTGGTCACTAATGTATATTCAAGGAACTACCAATAAAAATCAAGCATACAAATAAGTTATTTTTGAAACCAATAAGGTAGCTGAGTGACTAACAAACCAACAGCTTGTTAAAGAATGATTCAATCTATAAATAGTTAATAAGGTGTAGTATTTACGGTTCGCGAGCAAGCAGTTTCCTGAGTTTGTAATCGGGGAAGTTGGTCTTTGGCCTTTTAATAAAACCGTTTCGGCTATAATTTTGGCAGATTCACGGTACCCCAATATTATGATTAACCGGATAATAGAATAAGAACTACCGCTTTCCGAAAATGTCCAACTGATTCATCAATACGTTGAGACCTAAAATAGGATAGCACGAACCCTAAAGGAAAAAATGGCCTTATAAAATATTGGATAGCTTGAAGGACTGAATAAAAATTTATACTTAAACTGGAATTGGTACGTGTATTGCAAAATTAAACGTTCGTCATTCTCTACTACTTTGGGATTATTAGTAATCGAATTCACCTAGACACAAGTAGGTGTTGGTTAGGAAGCATTCAAATAGATAAGAGCGAAAAACGAATTAAGATAACTTGAGTAGAAATATAGTGCAGTTTAGTACCTTAAGGAAATATTTAATCATCATCTATAAATTCTAATTCGCACCTATAAAGATTATGTATACTTGCATAAGGAAAAAATAATTTAAAAAGTCAGGGCCGAATAGTAACTCAATGGAAAACGATATCATAGAAATTCTTCACTTAATATATTAAGAATTTGATACGGAATGTTTCAGCAGCAAAAGAGCAAACCTTACAAAGATAGAACCGAAATAAGGATGATCACGCAGTAAATTGTCTGATGAGGCTTTTGACGAGGACCTTATAGGTAATAGAATTGTCTATGACAAATACGCATAAGACAAATAAATAATTTGAAATTTAACAAAATTTTAACAAATAAAATGTTTATTTATTCTAATATTGCAAAAAAAAAATTTAAAATGAATTAATCTTCTACTAAATGCAACTAATATTTATTATTACCTTTTAGAGCCTCATCAATTAAAGAAACCAATCGTAGCTGAGCTAGCTAGTCTGCAAACAGTATATAAGACGAGAAAGCACTCGCACGCTAGGCTTCAACACGCCTACCTTAGTTGCTGTTGGTTGTTAATTGGTCAGTCTCTCACTGACCTTGGACGCACTTGCCATGACGCTAATATGTTTTGTCGTCGATAATAGGGCATCCATGGCCCAACGAACCTATCAGGGGACAACCTTGTTAGATTCAGCGAAAAGGGTTGTAGATGCCTTGTATAAAGTAACTTGGTTCCTGATTGGCTAATTTTTGATAGGCTCGTATGAATAAATGCCGCACGGATCGCTTCTTCTTGTTTACACTCAATCCGTTTCCACAGAATGTTTTGGTTGGTTGTCGGTTTTTTTAAAGTATAATGCCTTAATTATAGATGTCAGTATGGAGACAGGGTCATGATTTACCATCTTTACATGCTGCTTTAAGTAAAATTAATCCTGATGGTGTGCTAGACCTTGGAGAAGGTATTGCCAATGCATTTAGGATTCTTAACTTGAATCGGTTTCAGGCTAATTATGAGACTTACGGAATGGTAAGTGGGTACTTTCCCCAAATAAGAAATTTAGGGCTGGAATCCGTCTTTAGCTGAGCATGCTGTCGTAGTTGTAATAACACACTCATCCGCCTCCCTTGTGGTTGATGAAAAGGTGAGTCACCATTTGATTATTTTATTCTTAGTTGGCAAATAAATGTGGGGATGATGTTCTCGCTTTGACTATCGGCTCACACAGATGGGATTATTGGCTCCAGGGCATTGTTCTTCACTACTCTGGACTAGTTGAAACAGTGGATTTCGTGAATCCTCCTGAATTGTCAGAGAAACATTTGGTTAGACCTTGTGCAGAAACTGGAGGAAACGTATATGTATTTTTTGACCCGAGGGATTTTGTTCGAGATATTGAAAGTGTCTGTTCTGGATTTCGCTGTGGCCTTATGGTAGATATTGTGGATGATACTCACGGTATACACATTCTCTCTGCTAAATCTCTTTCATTTAGATCACTCAGATAAGGAACCTTTTAAGCAATTAGTATTGCAAAGGGAGAATGTTAAAGTTAATGCGTTTTGGCCAATTCCCGAAGGATATTGGCCTGGACCAGATCTTTCATTGGAAGCATTGGTATGAGAATTTTTTAATTACCTTAATCTGTCCATAGCTACCTCGTCCTTCAAATCCTTGCATCCACGTATTGCCTCCGAAAGAACCGCCTCCGAAATTTCCTGAGAATTTCCCCATTGATCGATATGAGTTGGATTCATCGCCTCTTACTCAAAAGATTATCGAAAGCAGAAATCCTTCTGTAGTATGGCCGTGCCTTGTAAAACGTAGTGGTTTAAAGAGTGATGCACCATTTGGTTATTGCAAACTATCCCAAGATCTAAAAGTGCATTTATACATCCTTCCTTACAATTATATGTTCTTATCTGAACTTTTATGTAAGCCTCTTTTACTCCTTGTTTACAATGATCGATTAGGCGATTTGGACAGTCCATATGGATTGCGTATAACGGAATTATGGATTAGAAAAATGCTCACTTATTACGAAAGTATTCCACGTTATTACCATTCTGTAAGCAATGTGCACTTTGTCTATTAACACTTCTAATGATATGTAGCAATTACTAAAAGCCTTTGAACGATCGCGCATTCCCAATGTCATTAAATCGGATGGGAAACAGGCGATTTCATTTAAATTCTCAAATGAGATGCAGAGGCTTCATTCAGAAGCACGAGCTGCTTTTGACCACTTAGTGAATATCATTTCTAATCCTCCGGAACCTTCTCAGTCTATTTTGGTAAGGGTTTATGTGATTTTTAAATTCCCGTTGGTTTTTCTGTTAGTTTCTTAAAAATAGCTATGTATATGTTTTCCCAATTTCCAGATTTCTAGAATTACATCATCAGGGCTCATGGAAATAAGACGGTTCAATGGAGCTGAAAAACAGCTAGCCAGGAAATGGTATGAAAATGCCAGTTATATTCCTCGTTCCAAGCTAAGGAGAATGTTACCAAAACTCAGGAACAACTTTGATGACATTCTTGATGGAATCGGCCGACCCATGGACAATGAGAGCATTCATACTCAGACTGTCAGTGAAATGGGAAATTATACCAACTATAGATTTGCCCAGCCGCGTGTTGCACCTTTGAGAGATCTTATTCAGGCCCCTGAACGCGTGGATACTTTTGGAAATCCCTTCCATCGAAAATCAAATGCTGGCTTTTTGGTTGACGAAGTGTCTGTCGATGATATGGGGTTCTCGGGATCTATGGCCTTCCAAGTACATAGGAGTGCTTTTAAGCCTAGAGGAAGGGTTAGGGGACCATTACCTTCGGATTTTCGTCTCTACGTCTCTCGACCTAATAGCTCTACATCGTCGTCTCCCTATCCTATAGATAATAAATCTCATAATCGTAAGTTTCTCTTTTTTGTGTACAACCATTTAGTTCCTGATCTCAATGGCCATCATATGCCTGTCTTGGACAAATCTCTCCATTCGGAGTTGAATGGCGGTGGTGTTAGTGCTGATTTTTATCCATCTCAGGAGGAATCAGCCTTTAAGACTAACGTTGTAGTCGTTAATGAACTTGTGGAAATTGTGCGAAGTCCATCGATAGGTAAATCAAATTTTCCATATTCGATGATTACGTTAATCTTTTAGATGGTTCCAAGTTGTATAGCCTCCTAGATAGGCTGGAAGGTAGTCGTCAAAACAAATACGACTCGGTATCCTACGTAATGGCGGAAGCGTTGCGTTTGAAGAGAGTGGATCTGTTTAAACTCCTCACTGAATACCGTTCGCACATAGGATTACTCCCGGTTGCAGAAGGCAGAGTTAATGGTTTAGATCAATCAATTCAACTTGTGAATGGATCTGGGTGAAGCCGTGTCGTATTTAATTTGTATATATGCACATAGTATGTAAATAGTGTACAAAAAGCGGGAGAACTGCACTCGCTTTGCACAGGCCAAATGATTAATATGAATAAATTTTTTTACATTGTTCAACATTCGTGTTTTTCTTTTTGTAGAGATGAACTTGAATACTATTTGGTGTGATTTCCACTTCACTAACGTTTATTTTTCGATGCTTAATAGAGAACATGGTACTCTTTGTCTGCGGCCGACAATTCAATTCAAGTGCCGAACACTTGAAAAGATATCGAACTTCAAATTTCGAAGAGATTTTTGACGCTTTTATGGAATGCAACAACTTTGAAGAATTGGAAGTAGTTAAAATCAACTCCAGTAATGAGATTCTTTATGTCCATCAGAATGAAATGGCTGTGGCAAAATTTAACTGGGTAGGTAAAAATGATAGTTTTCTTCCGCGTTATGCTGGAACCTCGGAAATGACTACATGTCATGCAGTTATTCTTACGTCTTCAATTGGCTTTTCCATTGGACATCTTGATGGAAGTTGCTATGAAGCGACTAGGGATTTTTTTGAGGTTTCTGTGGGAAATCTCCGGCATAATGCCAACGAAGTCTTTGATGCCCATATTGTTGGTGGCTTCCTAGATGAAGGAGGTTTTTCAATGCAATTAATGTCACAAATAATGTCTTATCTGCTAACTTCATCTCACAAATTTCGATTGAAAACCCTTTTTTGTTATTACCTAAATGATCGACAGAAGACAGAATCCAGCAGTAAACAGGTACATGAACCGTTATTTCGAGCTGTAGTATTTGACATTGAAACAGGCATAGTGAAACCAGCCTCTATAGAACCGAATGGGAGAGGTCCTTTGAGTGTACTGCGAAGCGCCTCTTTCTACGCAAACGCACTTCGTATGAACAACATTTTCGATCCCGTTTCTCGCGTATTGCGTTTTGTAGAATTCCGTATCCCCCCGAGCGATATGGAGCATCTTGCTCGAAGGTCAAGGCGAACAAATGCAGAGCTTGCTAATTGTTCTACAACTCCCAACCAAGAAACCAATCACTTTTACGACATGCTGAGACGTACTGGCGATCTACTTGCTCATATGCTGGTGGAGAAAAAGAATTTCTTTGAGAATGGGAATCTGGAGTTTTCGTATGATGCTAATTTAAAGTGCTGGATACCACTGAATCCTCAAACGGAGGAGGCTCTGAGACATCCTTTGACTTCTTTTTAATCGGGGGTTATGTTTAAAATTTGGTAGGGTGTGCTGTGTGTAAAGATTTGAGATTTTATTTTACTTTACCTATTTTATAATTGTGACGATTTTGATTTCGGCTTCAAAGCTGCAGAGGTGGGTAAGATTGTTCCAAGTGGACTCCCTGGTGGGATATCAACCCAAGACGGAATAACAGGGGAACTTAATGAATTGGGGTAGTTGAGGTGCGTATCGGTAGTTTCGTGTAAGAATATTTTAGAACCGAGAGGTCATGTGTTGGCAATACTTATGTGTCGGGTTATGGGAGTGCGATAGACTTACCTCCACGTGGTGCACCCTGGGCAACGTATTCTCATACGGCAAAAAAGTCTATTAACCGGCATTTGACTTCTCACTTCAAGCTACCATAACCTCACTAGATGCCATATTGGAATACTGTCCCAGTACTCACCTCACCTTTTTTCTACCTTTTTGTTTGTCTCTTACATCTTTGAAACACTCTTCTGTTCCTCCTCTCGAATTTTTTTAATTTGATGTTCCTTCCCCTCTGTGAAGCCTGAAGTCAACTAAAGGGCTAATGATAACCATCAAGACGCCTGCCATTTGATATAAATA